TCTTTCTTTTCCTTTCTCCATTGTTAGCATTGGTCCGTTCCTGTAAATCTGCCGAGTGTGTTTTTCCATGGAGGATGTGGTATATTACTTCATTGACCAACTGAACAAATCAAACTGAACCACTTGGTTCTGGTAGAAACAGAAATGACAAAGAGACAAAATTCTCTCTGATCTGATCATCTCTCTTCATCTCCTCCAACTCCTGTCTCTAAAGTTAGACTCTAAAGTCGACACCACATCAGGTGTCACTACTGTCTGATCAAACCTGACCTTTCACCTTTGCTGCTCTTCTGTTACAGTTAACTTATGACTTCACTGCCCCTTTTCCTGGATGGTTGACTCTAGCTATTTCAACTCTTCCAACCTAACCACCTCTAACCCTACGTTAACAACTGTGCTAATCACGGCTGTTTACATACCACCAAATGCCAACACAAGCGTAGCTCTCACGCTGATAGCAGACACCATCAACACACTGCAACAGGCCCACCCCGATGGTGTGCACATCATAGCTGGTGATTTTAATCAGGCAAACATAAAATCTGTCCTCCCAAAATTCTACCAGTACGTGGAATGCTCAACCAGAGGGGTAAATACATTAGATCACGTATACACAAACATTAAATATGCATACAGAGCAATACAACTCCCACACCTTGGCCAGTCAGACCACCTCTCTCTGCTCCTAACTCCAGCCTACACACCACTTAGGAGAAGGTCCATTCCCATGACAAACACAATCACCAAGTGACCTGAGGATGCCCTCTTTCAGCTCCAGGACTGTTTCGACCACAGACTGGAGTGTGTTTCTCCATGGGGCCCTGGCTGTACACACTGAGATGCTGCTATCCTACATCAGGTTCTGTCCACGACAGGTGTGGCAAGGGATACAGCATCTGACAAACTACAGGGGGACAAACACCACAGCTGAGGAGACGAGTGCGTTTTGACCCGGAAGAGCAAACGGGTTTGTTTGTTTATGGACTATTTACACACAGCAATAAAGTCACTGTGCTGAAACTAAAGGAACAGCGTGAACGCTTCGTCACGTTTTGTACGGAACTGAGGCGAGCACGACCAGTGGAGCTGCTGGAAGCGGTTTGGACTTTAAGGTGGTTTGAAGAACGTCTGGATGGATGTCGACTCGCCGGAACCACGGTGCTGAGGCTTACCTGGGTCTGGAGCATCGGACCGACGCACGGCGCCCAACCCACGGAGGTATGTGTAGCGCTCCACCGGCAAAAAGACGTTCAAATTGTGTACACAATTGCACCAAAAGTATTGGTCACTAGTGATGTGCGGATCGATCCTGAAATATCGATACTTCCGATTCTGGAGCTTTATGCTCTGAAATCGATTCTGAAATCAAAATATCGATACTTACGCATTCTGAGATGAGGTGTATCCTAAACAGAAACACGGTGAAAAGTATCCAAATGATTGAGATGTTGTCTAAGTGACGCTCGGTTGGTGGGACTACTTCTTCTTCCGCCTGGGTGTGTGCGTCATGCGTAAGCACAGGGGCTCTACTCCGTGCTCTCACTCAGTCACTATTGATGGGAATTTCGGCTCTCTTTTAGAGAACCGGTTCTTTTGGCTCGGTTCACTGAAAAAATCCGACTCTTTCGGGTCCCAAATGGCTCCTCAGATTTATTTTATTTTTTTTATTTTTTTTTTTACAAATAACATTTTCAGAGTTTGAAACATTGTTTTGACATATTTTATATGATTGTGTTCTCAGGTTAGGGTTAGGGTTAGGGTTAGTTGTGTTGACTGTATAGTAAATGAGGCAGCTACCTCAGTACACTCCAGAGTTTAAAATAAATAAATAAA